TGTACTCTATTTATGGTTTATATATATATGCTGTACGTTTTTAGTTAAAATATCTGAAGGTAATAAAGAAAATTAACTTTCAACGTCGAAAAAGTGGCATTAAAGTTGACGTCATTTTCGACGTTTTTTGTTATATTCAAAACCCATATTGGACATGACTTATCTTATAACGGTGTAAATCGAGTTGTGTTCATAACAATTTTAGAACAAACTCATTAGATACATCAGGTTGAAAAAGTAGAAAGAACATGGTTATTGAAAACACAAAAGGTATTTTCAACGTCAAAATTGTACATTTTAAGCGAGAAAATATGATAAACTAACGGGCCCCAATCGACGCACCCCCACGAATAAGCACGTGACGGACATTCGAAATTCATTGATTCGAAAAAAAATTGGGGATTTGAACAATTCATTTTTATCTTGTTTCAGTTTTAAAAAACAAATATTCGGGAAAAAAATATTATAAAAGGGCTGAAAACTAGTTTTGCGTGTTGAAAACCCTAAATGGTGTCACACCGGATCTAATAGAAGTGATGCCCTAGGCGGCACTCCTGATCATGCCCAATTTGATCGAATTTCTTGACGACTGCGAAACTAAAAGTGTTCCGAGAGATACTGTTTCCTCGTGACGATCGATAGTAAAGTCGCTTAAAGAGATCGCATACATTTTTTCAGTGTAGAAACAATCTGGGTCGTATTTCCCCTCAGAGCGAGTCCAAAGGGAATCATCGTTCGGAGAAGTCCGAGCTTTCAGGTCTAGTTACAGTTTTGTTGGTAATATGAACTAGATGGATATTTCAGAGACACATATATATGGTTACATTTTTATCTTTGTGATCAAATATATGTCAAGTCACTGTTCAGACATGGTAAAAGCAATTGATAGTAGTTATGCAGTAGAATTAGATGTAGTTGTGTCATTATTTGTCAATATTGCTTTTAACATATTTGTGGTATTTAAAACTATACGCGTTCGTATACATGTAACAGAAATCAGCCTTCCGTGTAATTTTGTACGTAACGCATTGCAGCAAAAAAATTAGCGCGCGCGCGGAAATAGCAAGTGTAAATGCGAGTGAGGTACTGGACGGATGTGATGTAATGTGACCCACGTGAACAACCCGCTATTGAATAGAAATTGCACGTGCCTAGGTTGGTATGTTGCCTCATTTGCATATACCACCATTGACAACTCATTTTCGTTACAAAAAAAACCACAGTAAACATGGCAACATTCAACAAATGCTTTTAATATATGTACGTTGTGTTATATTGCATTATGATGAATAATTTCACAACTTTTCACATGTGAAATTAAATTTCGGAGTTATTGAAGTTATATACGGGGGAAATTGGAAACGGACTGGGAACACTAGTGGTAGCCATAGAGGGGGAGGACTCTGGATTTTTACATGTCGATTGGATAACGCGGGAAGCACTGCGTTTTTGACCGTTAATCGCGCGCTTGTATCCGTTTACAGCGGTACTGCGATGGCCCGTTTGCTCCATAATCAGTTGTTCCGACACATGTCCCTGAAACAACCTCATATCTGTTGTAGCTCGCAGGGAATGGTTTGTATAGAAACCTTTGAATCCAGATTCGTGATGTTTTTTACTATATTGGCCAGCTTGTTGTGTCCAACGGGGACTTCGGAAAACCATATATTTCCATTGGGTTTCGATAGGGACTGGAAGTAGAAATGATCGGGATCGGAATTTGGGTGCAACTTTGAACAATATTTTTCAAATAGCGTCACAGGGCAACGGGTTTTGTTATTTGCCTCATAAGCACGGGCTCTATGGGGGTCCACTCTCCTGTGTTTAAAGACACACTCTCGCAGTATTCTCAATACCTTTTTCCATTCGAGTCCGCTATAACGTTCAAATTTCTGCTTGTCAAATTTCTGTGCACATCCCCCCTCGAAGACCAAAATGTATGCCAAAACTCCAGAATATGGTATTCAGAAAAGTTTGGGGATTTAATGATCCCAAGAACCTCTTTTCCCAAAGAACATTTTCTATCTCAATTGTAATGACCTCGACTTGATTTTTGTTTATACCAACCCCCTTTTTAGTGACCGATTGCATTGCATTATCTAGGCATTTTTTTACGTCTTTGAATTTGGGATCTTGAAGCACAGAAATGTGTAGCCCAAGCGTTTCAAAATGGCGCTGAATTGCCGTTATTATGGAGAATAGCTATAGGCTACCACTAGTATACTCACGCCCATCTTCCCGCTTTAAGGAGAGTACAAAAAATAATAATACAAAAGTAAGTTCTTCATCAGAAAGGTTCTCAAGATTCTCTTTGTCCTGCAGTAATTCCACCAGTTCTTCATTTACATTCTGTTGAACATCGTGTTTCCGCCATTTCCGGTATAGGTTTATTGCCCATTGTTTTTTTTCCGTGCTGTGTTCTCTGGAACAAACGGCTTGGCCATCTTGTTTACAAATTCAGCATTAACTTCTGCAAATCGAGATTGTGCTGTAATCGAATAAATAATATATCATAATGTGGTCTATGGTATCACAAAAACTGCGAAATTGAACAGTTCTATATACCGTGTATTATGTTCGATTTTAACTATTTCGGGGCCCGGGGGGTCGCCGACCGGCGATCGGCCAACTTTCCTGGAAATGGGGTCGAACTCCTGGCCCGTTTATCGGCCGGTGTCCGGCAGGCACTCGTCCGGTGCCCTGCTTATGTCCTTGCGATACCCCTGCGGTATCTGGCAGGGTGCCAACCAATTCTTACAGGTCGTACGGCGGCCGGACGGGCATCTGTAGCGTGCCTGTCGAGGGGATCAACGGCCGGCGGCCGTTTGTCAATTTGAAGGTGAGGTCCTGGTGGACGCTGGACATCCACTGTGCCCATGCCTCGCGTTCCGACAGGCCACTGGTGCTGGGGCCAGCACTGGTAGAAGAAGCCTGCAACATTAACACATAGAAGACTCAGTGAACATTATGCAACAAGCTTCCCCCCCCCCCCCNAAGTCCTCCCCAATCCCGATCGAAGATGCCACTTCTTCAGACTCGTCGGAGCTGGACTCTGGCTGCGCGACCTGAGGCATAAGCAAGGACAAGTGCTACAAAATGGTAAGGAAACAATGTAAAAAAGTGAATATTTAGGAACACAAATGGGAAAAAGAGACACCAATCCTTGTAGATGCTTACCGAACCGAGCACTGAGGACTTTGTACTGCCCCTGTAGTGTGGCGCCAAGAACTCGTACCGCTTGAGCTTGAATTCCTGGAGTGGGTTAGCCTGGTCTGTCCCTTGCCAGACTTCCCTTTCTGCTGCTTGCCCCTCAACTCGAAGTAATCTGTGCGCATCGTCCGAAACCGATTCATGATCTGGGAGGCTGTAAGCAGATGGAAAGGAAACAATGTAAAATAGTGTAAATTTCAAAACACACCAAAATAATGACTGGCAGGAAAAATGTTGGTAAGCATGAAATAAAATTTAAAAAATCTAAAGCATACTCACGCGCCAAACCCATTTCGTCTGTAAATTCCTTTAGCAGGGCGTTCTTCTTTACCCTGGAGGGGAACACATCGTCCTCTTCTTCGGAAAGGGGATTCCCCAGGTTAGTCTTACTTACATCACTTCCACTCTTATTCTCTTTCTCCTCTTCTTGGGGTTGTTTCTTCTTCCTTGTGGGTGCCCTCTCCTTCCCCTTCTTTCCTCCTTTCTTTCACTTGGGCATCTTGTAGTACTTGTATTATGAAACTTGTGTGATAAACTGTGTGTAGATGTAGATGTAGATGAGCCGCCTTTTTCACCCCGCGAGCCCCGGCCGATGTATGACCGATTTCAGGCTGGGCGCCGGTTTGCCGCCGTCCGGCCCCCGGCCGATTTCCGTCAGGCACCGCCAAGTCGGCCGGACGCCTGGTGAGACCCAAAATTTGGCTCGGCGCCCGCCCGACGTGTGCGATGCCCTGCCGGACATCGGCTAGGCATCGACCGATTTATTGCGATGCGAAACGCCGCACCAGGTTTTAAGTCCGAGTTAAAAGTAACTCGATGCCCGCCCGATGCCAAAAAATGACTTGGCAGCTGCAAGGAGTCCCGTTATTTTTTATTTTAAAAATTTTTATTTGCAGTTACTAATCATTCTTACCCTGAAGGACATGAAAACGGCGGGAAGCAGCAACTTCTGTCGGTCCACCCTCCTCAAGCATGTCATCCACGTCAATAGCACATTGAATAGCATTACAGTCTTTGGTCGTAGCGTTTATAAACGTATTCTGGGTTAAAAAATCCCTTCGTCATCATCAGAACTTCCCCCCGTAACAGCATGAAACTGTTCAGCGAGGTCGAGCGCCTGACATAAAATTGCATCAGTGGCACAGTACGACATGTTGGCGACAACAATAAAATGTACAACATGATTATTCCACGTGTTTTGTTGTATACCACCTCTGCACGAGCGCAAGAATGTTGAATATATTTTATCAAATATTTAATAAAATAATAAATGGGGGAACGGGTCGAACACGGGACCTTTCGGTGATGAGCCGAAGATCCTACCTCGGGACTGTGACCGAACCAGGACCGTATGTGCTCGCTTAGCTGGATAATACTTTCGGTGTGTAACTGACAATTATTTATAAAATATGTCTATATATTACCACGCTTTTATATTACATCAAGAAAACCCAAGTTACAATCATATTCTGAACACATTTTTTTATCAGAAAAAAACTCTATACATTTATTCCACTCTATCATTCTATTGTATTCACTCTATTTATAATTAAGCATTGAACTGTTTTTGTATGGTATTTATGTTCTATTTGAATGACACAGCTTTGCAAGCAAACAACATAATGTGCGCTAGCGCAATATGATGTATTTCATGTTACAGGTTTTTTATAAGTAATAAACCAGTAAACCAATTAAAGGACCAAGAAGTTTTCATATATCCAGGCAAAGACGACTTGTTTTGAAGGTCCACGTGCGTGTTAGGAAAGATAACTCTTGTAAGCTTTGTCACGTGACCGATCCATGGAGACGTATACATCATGGCTGCCATGACCAGCACCGTTGAGGATTTGAAAAATGAACAAGTGCCACAATGCCTGTACTGGACCGTGGATCAAGTTGTGGACTGGATCGATAATTTAGGATTTCCATATTACAAGGTTAAAGCATATGTGAATTAATTATTTGGAAGGAATAATCCCTTTGGACAAATGTTTAGGCTTGCTGTAACGGCATAACTCGATCACAGTGTCACGGTGTACGTTACAATTCATTTTTTGTCCGATTAATGTAAAAGCCTTATAACGATTTATTTATTTAGACAGACATCCTTGTAGTGAACATTTGCTTTGACATTCAAAGGCAATTCATTTATTCAATAGCCAATGTTTTTTTCAGAGTCTGTGTTGTACATATCATAATCAACAAGACAGCTGTACTGATGCAGACTATATGTTGCTGCAAGTTTATATATATGGCTATATGGATGCAAATAACTGGATTCAATCATTGTCATTTTGAAGCTTCTCCTCCCACTTCGAAAAAAGTTTTAGAAGAACCCAAAATATTTTTTATTCCGACAAGTTACAGACAGCACATACTTCAAAAGTTATGTATTTTTTTTACATTTATAGGATTTACAAATATATGTTTATATTGATAATTTGATATATACTGTATATATATATATTACAACATTCATGGGTGGGTGTACAATGTATAATGAATCGGTTTTCCATATTTAACATGAATCCCAAGATGGCTTCATCATTCATGCAATAAATTGATGTAAACGATTTGCATGCATACTGACATAAATTCATGTTAGAAAAAAAAGAAAGTTCAGTCCATTAAATTCATACCAGATGCCTTCTATAGCTTCCTGTGATAGGGAGTTTTGCTTTAATTTACCTCAATTTGTATTCATACCAATATGAATGTTGAAAGAATCCTGTTCAATCCTAAGATACTTTTCTATGACTATCTGGGCAGGATTAGTGGGGGTTGCTATGCATGGTTGGATCCCTAAATCCAGGTATCGACCGAAGTTAAAGGCTACAATTGTTTTATTATTTTCAAAACAGTGATGTAAGCAATCTGTAAAAAAAATACAATAAAAAAGCTTCGGAAGCGGGTCGGTGTGTTGTTTGGAGAAAATGTCATAATTCTATTTTATAACCCAGTCCTTCAACAAAAATCACCCGCTCCAAGTCAATATCGTTTTTTATCGGTGGACACATGATGCACTACTGGCCAATCACTTGTTGGGAATAATATGATTTTTTTTTAATATTCAATTATAGCCTTTGGCTGAGGTCGATACCTGGATTTATCGACCCGAGAAAAGATATATTAACAGAGGACACAGTCCGAGGTCAATATATTTTTTCTCGGGTCGATAAATCCAGGTATCGACCGAAGTCAAAGGCTACAATTGTTTTATTATTTTCAAAACAGTAATGTTAGCAATCTGAAAAAAAATCACCGCAAAAATCTTTGGAGTCGCGTCATAATTCTATTTTTAGTAACACCCAGTCCTTCAACAAAAACATGCGCTCCAAGTCAATATCGTTTTTTATCGGTGGACACGTGATGCATTCCTGGCCAATCAGTTGTCGGGAATAATATGAAAAAATAATAAATAAATATATTGAAATACCAAATTGTAGTTGGAAGTCAAATTTAGTGAGATAGATAGTGCATAGTTCTATCAAAACTATTGGCATTATAGAGGTTTCACTGAACACAGGGTCCAATGTAAAATTTCTAGGATGAATTTATGTTGTGTTTTTAATCAGTTTAGAATTTCACCTTTTTGCTTAATGATGTTCATATGTATATCAATGTCTTTGTCTTCATCAGGCTTGTTTTGCTACAAACATGATCAATGGACGAAAACTAGTCACTATTGAGGCTAAAGCTCTACCCAGTATTGGTATCACAGATTTTGAACACATAAAGGTAAGTTCAAATTACCTGTAAAACATTCACCTATACGTCACATGAAGGACTTTAGTGGTGATTTTCTATTTAGCTGTTATCATGATTTAGCATTTAATTTCCATTTTAGTGTGAAAAGCGCTACAATATGATTAATGCTAAAATAACTAAAATTTACAGTGCAGTTGATCTATGCTATAATAAACATAGGCCCATATGGCCTCACTCTCATTCAATGGTCAGTGATAAGATAGATGTTGAATAGGACCACAGGATTTTGTATTTCTGTAACAAAACGTAAAAAAAAAATAAAAAAAATTAATACTATATATACAGTGTACATGTGTATATATATATATACTTATTCTGCTTGGTATCAGTATCTCAAATGAGTTTCCGTCTTTATCACAGATAATCGCAAAAAGCATTCGTGACATGCTGAATCTTGAGGAGCCTGACTGGACAAGGAGTATCTCACTGCCTCCTCGTAATGATATAGGTAAAACAAGAAAGATTGTTAACATTGTTTTCGTATTTATAACCTCATCCACACTGTACTTAATCCTGTAATGTTATGATGTTGTTTTCTGGCGAAACTCGGCAAAAGTTTTTAAGGTCTGAATTAACAAGTCATGCTTTTTAGCCTGATGAATATTACTTCTCAGATGAGTATACAATGCCGGTATTGCCAGTTTCAAATCTTCCCCCCTGAGTGAAAGACGTACATTATTAGACAGCTCTACTTCAACGAAGATAAAACAGATTTTTCCAATAAAACAAACAGAACCTTGGCCAAAAGAACCGATTCATGTCAGATATAGAGGATATTTAATGGTGTCTTCATTAATAGCAAATATATTTCAGGAGTGTGGCTATTATATTGATATTTTTCGCGTGTGCACAGCACGAGTGAAAAATATCAAAATATTCGCAACACAAGTGAAATATATTTGTTATTACTGAAGACACCATTAAATTTTCTATTTCTTACATTTTTAAAGCATAAAACGTGAAAAAAATGTAATGCTTTAAAAAAGGGTGGGAATCGGAAGCGTAAGAATTAGCGCCATATTCTAATGACGTCACACTTGACAACAAGGCTGCACGCCATTTTGAATGGGATACTCAACGCAATTCCGACGTTTTCTACTATTTCCTGGTATGATTGCTTATAAAAATGTTATTAATTGTATATTTATGTAAATACTTAAGTGTGTGTACCAAACATTTACCATAATTACCACTTATTCTACCGTCGCTTCATTTGAATATGAACAAAAAATCGTTGCCTTTGAATGCAGCGAATAGAGGAAACCGTTATGATTGGTCAATACCTAAAAGTGGTATTTTCACAGTGTGAAAATATCTTTTTTGATATCTGTCACAGTGTGAAAATATCTTTTTTGATATCTGTCACAGTGTGAAAATATCTCTTTTGATATCTGTCACAGTGTGAAAGATATCAGTTTTATAATCAAGTTGATAGAATCCGATATTTCATTGACAAAAATGTAATAAAAATGCTTGTGTCATTTTCTAATATTTGTATTGTACTTTTACAGGTATGTACGTAGAAAGGAAAAGTGGAACAGGGAAGAACATTGACAGTTTGACATTTAATAAATTCCTTCAGGACTTCAAGGATGCTAAGTGGAGACCCCCTCTAGCCAACCACTGCCTGATTCTACCACGGTGTTAAAACGTCTGTACTCTGCAATTAACTGCATGGCAATATCACTTTCTACTTGACATGTTGTAAGAAATAGATCTTGAACTACTTGGCATCTTCAGTGTGGGCAGTGAACATCTGCTATATATACAGATGTAAGCATTATGCTTATGTTACTGGACACTGTATATTTTTGTCTTGGACCCAAGATTTGTTGACATTTGATGGACTGTACCTTAAAGACAACTGACAGATGGAGACATTTTACGTATATATATCTATATTACAGCCAAAACTGAAGCAAAGTATGTTAAATCAGCCAGATTTTACAGATTTCTTTTATTCTTCTATTAACATGAAAAATGAATCCGTAATTAACTGTGAAACAGTTATTTCTTTTTTCATGTGTTGGAAACCAATGTCTCAATTAATCCTTTAAAAACGATGCTGTGATATTGACACAAATGTTTCGCCTTGTTTAAATAACACATGAACAGCCTTTAATAGACTAAAGTGCAAATTTCAAACTTAATGAATTATCAATGTTTAAAATGAAATATCTAAATATTACATTTTAATATGTGGAAAGTAAAAGAAATTAATGAAAATTGAATTTTGAACTTAAGTTTAAATCCTTTCATGATTTAGTTCCTGTCTGGTTTACTTAGATTCACTGAAAGAATGTCCGTACAAAATAAACCAGAAGATATTTTGCCTAAAGCATACAGCCCTAGATCTGGGGCCTAAAACTGACATCTGCTTCATACATAGTCTATTTTTTGTATTCATGACTTTATTTCAAAAGAACCAAAGACTAAATTTTTAATGAACCATGTGATTGGCCTACATAATAAGCTATTCATTAACAGTTTATATGGATACAGTATATATATTTTATTAAAGGTACACCGTGACAAATTCAAATTCTGTGATTAGACCTTGTTATAAAATTCATACACAAAAGCCGTCCATATGCACATGAGATTTACTGCGTATTTTTTTCATTTTTTTTTTTTATTAACTGATGCTTTATTTATTAAGTGATGATCTTAATGTCCTATATCCTATATGGTTTATTCTTATACACAGGTTTTCACTGTCAAAAGGAAACCCCATGTGTCTTACTATAAAAAAGACACATCTTATACACTGTAGTTATATATAGTAATACTTGTTATTCAAATATTACACAGCCTGTTAGCTCAGAATGGTTTTTATAAATGAAGAGCAAATTTAAAATCCTTATGTCAGAAAATTCAATTGCCAATTACACTACATGTATATTTACAATGCACAAGGCAACCAGTTCACTTTACCAAATAATGTGCCAAGAAGTTAGACACTTATGCCAAGTACAGACACAGGGTTGGTGTGTGTACATGCTTTACATACCAAAAACCAACTAAAGCATTGCTATATGTGACAAATCTTTTTTCCGTTAATTTGATACAGTGGGTTTTGTGTAAGCTGTGTGCAACAATAGAAACATTTTCTATGCTCTTCATCTTTTATGTACAAGTGTATACATTCACATCTGTTAAACTTGCAAATCTTTTATTATTTGTTGATTTGTTTTGATATTAAATAAATTATGTATTTCAAACAAAATGTCTTTGTTTTTCCTTCTTCATTATACATTAATGATTCCTGTGCCACTGACCAAAAATATATCTTTGCATTGTAAACTAATTACTTCTGGAACGATTATTCTGTCTTTGCGTGTTGCAGAGTTATCTTCTTTTGTGAGCAGGTATTGATTGTTACGTCATTGGTTTGTGTGAGAAAATTAAGTCGTTTTCTCAAAAATTGATGACGTTACTCTCACAAACAAATGATGTAACAATCAAGAGCAGATAACTCTGCAATACGAAAAGACGGAATAGCTTTCAAAATATTTCATAAATGATTTCTGAAAAAGAAAACCTCACTGTGGAACTTATATGGAAAATTTACTAAAGATGATTTTTTGTATACAACAATGATCCGAGTGAAAAGACCAGAACAAAGTTGGCACCATATTAACTATATATACTTTCGCTCTACCAACTGATCCTAAGCTACGTGGTCAATGGAAGTATCCTGACCCAGTGTCGCTTCAGTTATATCAAAATGAAATTAAGGGGAGGTTACTGTATTTACGAAAAAAGTAAGTGGACTTTTCTAGTGTTTTACTAGTCAGTTGGACAGAGATCCTTAATTGTAATTTAATTTATTCCTTTTCTACAATTAATCATCAAATATATGTATTCAGTTTAACATTCTAAAAGCTGACAGCATCTTTAGGTTTCACAAAGAGGCAAACACCAGTGGGTAAAGTATCAGAATTGTGATTTATTTTCTTTGAAAACAAAAAAATGAACTGTATAAAAATTCTAATACTGAGTTGTTGTGTTTGATGGCTTCAGTTTGAAAGTGTCCATGTTCAATTTTTTTTAATTTTCACACATCACACAGCACAGCTGTTGTCTGTCACTTACTGAACCAGTTCAAACTAACCACAACTCTAGATCTCCATCATTCTGTCAATACCAGTTATAGCCTCATTTGTGAATTTCCCTGCAACAGAAACGTTTTAGTCAGACAACAGAGTGTAGTTGAATTTATTATATTTTTATGAAGAGAAGTGTTTAGATAATTGACTAGCTGTTTATATCAGATTTAAACAAACATATGGCCTCTATATACTTGGGCTTAATACTTGTACTCAAGTAACCATTTGACTCGCTGTCCTGGTAAATGTACAACCCCAGTGCAATTCTGTTTATTTTCGATATTTCTATATCTCCATATCAAATACTGTAAAGCATCTAACTATTTGCGAGATGAAAAGTTTGGAAACCGATACTTTTCCACAAAAAATAGCTCCATGTGAGAAAACTATAGCAGTTACTTTACCCTGAGCTTAAACAGAAACAAATAAGGGACATAACATTGAAAAAGAATTTGAAATAAAAAATATATTACACTTGCAATACCATCTATAAATGTACCAAGCATGGATACAAAATTTCTAAATTTTTGCATAAGATGATACATGTACTAGAGGTACAGCTCCCATAGAAAAACTATATCAATATACATGTATGTTTTCAGGAAATATGACTAAGGGCCTGTTCGTTCATGCAGAACAACCGGCACATCGTTCTTTTTTTAAATGTAACATTTTCAGGTATAAATCCTGGCAGATCTGCAAAAGTTTATTCAGGCCTTGCAAGGCTTGGTCAAACTCTCCTGAAAGCAGCAGCTGATTACTGATATATTAGTCTGACCTTATTTCATAAACAGATAACTCTCATCCAACCGGTTAACCATTAAGATCGCAATAACGAAACCGGCCAAATAATTTTACAAAAGGGGTATAACTCTGTTAAAAAGAAAGTATTGAAATAAAAAATAGTAAGGTCAGGTACACAACTGCAAAGTGTGGTTATTATATCTGGAGAATCACAAAATCTGAATGAAAACTGTAGGAGGAATTATTACATTTTGCTTAAAGATTTGAAAAGGGGACATAACTCCCATAAGAAAATAGCCAAATGGAAAACGTAAGCACACATGAGCAGTTAAAGGTTGAGGTGACTGCATGAGATGGAGTTGCAAGATACTGAGATGAAATCTGAATCTGTACAAGAAATAGTCTGGATATGATTCCATCTAAGGGCAGACGGACAACATGATTGCAGTATTACCCCTTGAATTTTGTTGCAGGGATAAAATAAATAAAGTAGCACCCAACAATATATACAATAATTCCACAAATTTCAATTTTTGCAGAAATATTTGAAATATTTAACCAATAAAAAAAAACGCTCATTAGGTGTTTTTTTGTGTAATTTATTCAACTTACCCATTGTATTAATGTTCTGTCCATGTCCAACTATGCAGTCCTTTAGTTCACATTTCTCGTTCACAGTAGACCTTGCCCCGATAAGACTGCCTTGAATATTGCACCTGACAAATGCACATAATCAAATGTTAAATGATTAAATGATATCCCTGATTGAAGGGAGGTAATAAAACCAAATGTGATTTACATTTAGAACCAAAAACAATCTGAAACATTTTTGCTTCTTAATGCCACACAAATACTGGGCATCAATGATACAGTTTTTGATTTTTTTTTAATTCGTTATGATGTGTCTCCTTCAAAGTCCAATTGTGAGAGTCGTACCTGATTTATTTGCTGAGGATCATGCTAATACGAACTGTACACCAACTTAATACAAGTGTTTGAACGATATATTTTTTTCGCTCACAAAATTTTTCATTCACTTTATTGTAATTTCATCATTATCTTGCAAATATGGTGAATGTTTGATACTGAAAAAAAAACAGCCTGACAGACAGTAAATTAACTAGCCAAGGACTTATGACTGAACATATACAATATATGGCCCACTAAATCAGCTCACTCAGATATAATGTGTTATATTCAGATTTAAAAGCTTCAAAATAAATATTGTATACTCAAAACAGAAGCTTTTACATCAGGAGAATTAATAAAAATAAAATCTCACCCTTCCAGTATTGAGACATGATCAAGGATGACAGAGTTAGCAATTTTGACCTTGTCTCCAATCGTGCAGTGTTTGCCTATAATTGACCTCTTTACTGACGTCTTCTCTCCAATCTGTGCACCTTCCGCTACCAAACAGTCTGTTCCAACCTTCAAATATTTAAAACATCTCATAAAAGATTTGTTCTGCAACACACCTGCTGTCTTGATTGAGCAGTTCTTCTAAATGGTACTGACCAACTTCAACAATTTGAAGATAAAATGTTAAGCCTAGTGGGAGGACTACCAAGCCCTGATACTATTTTCTTGTATCTTTTAATCTCTGATGAGAATATAATAATGAACCTACACATACATTTCTTAAGTTAGAGCTTGCATTAACATATCGATCTGGTGCTTGTACTTATACTAATGAATAGTAAATAGAATCTTAAAGATTAAAGAAATCTGTCTTAATTCTAATATCTCATATGTACACACCTGTGACTTGCCCTTTATTGACGTAGAAGGGTGAACAACAATAGTCTCCTTTTCACTGGCCAGGTCTGCTAAAACCCTTGGGATCTACAACAAATGTACAGGTCACATGACTGTGTGATGTCATCCAACAGCAGACGTACGCGTTAACTTTTATTTATCAAAAAAGTCTCTCAAACTTATCCAATGCTTTCTTATTAAACTTTGTCTCAAATCTACTCAACTTGTTTAAAAATGTTCCCTCCTTGTTATCAGGAAATGTTATCTATTACATAAAGAATAAAGTTTATTTTTAAATGACTTTGTTTTAAAGAAAACTGTAAAATAATATTTGATAATCTTGTCAAATAATCAAATGGATCAAATTCTTTAGTAATGGACGATTTTCCAGTATGTTATAACTTATATCCCAACAATTTATACCTGTTGTCATGGCATGATTCCTTCAGCCTGTGATGTCCCAACAGGCTGGTATTATAAATACATTTACCATTCTCTGATCTTAATCAAATGTTTAAAACACTTGTTGTTGAGCATATGGTCAGTAATATTAAAGATATCAAACATAGGTCAGAATGCATGCCAGTTTTAAGTGAATAACTGGTTGTTATTGAACCACAATCATCCGTAAATTTGTAATAGAATGTGAAATATGTATTTCCATCCAAAATTACATTAACATGATGAATAATTTCCTTATAAGATTATGCAAGCTTTAATTGTCCTTTAGAACTGTGCATATATGATCTATATGTAACAGAGGTCAGTAGTTTTCAGTAGATCTGTTAGGAGTTACACTCTACCAAATGAGCTAAAGCTCGGTAGGAAGTGGCTAGTATTTTACCAGAGTGACATATTCTCCCTCCAAGAAATAACTTGCCCCGTTTTTTTCTTGGGGATATTTTTATTCATGTGAAAGTATCGCTGGATATTTTGTCAACATTTCCCGGGTCCCTACATAGACGCTAATGTAACAAAGATCATGATTTTGTCCATGACTCCGCTTTGAGTCGAATCCGTGACCTCTTGCTTACTAGCCTAACACTCTACAAATGAGCTGAAGAAAAATTCTCCCTCGCCGGGTTGGTAGGAAACAACTAGTTTTGTTTACCAGGGTGCCATATATATACAACGTAAGTACAACCTGGCCTACCTGTTTGTTAGACTCGTTGTAAGCAGCAACTGTGTTTGCCTTCACACAGAATCCATCACTCTGTACGTGTGCGTAACATCGAATCGGGTTGTGATGGAAGCAGTCCTCCATGTCACCCCTATGATCAATCCAGGTGGACATTTCTCTTATTTTCTCTGTTATTTCATCAACTTTTGAAAATGTGAATATATCTGAAGGAAAAAGAAGGTCTTGTTGTTAATCATAAATTTCATATGGTGATGGTAGGGCAAGATTGTTTAAATTCAATTATAATTTTTATTCTTTTTCATATTTTCCCAAATCTCAATCACAACTATCAAAACATACATTCCATTCAAGGAAAAGATAGTTACATTTAGTAGCTAAATTACTTTAGAATTATCATCTTGCAATTTGTATCTGCCAGTGAGTTGAATATCCCTTCTAGAGCAACAGCCAGGTTTGCAATGATCCTGCATTATCTTTGAAGTTTTTGTTCCAAAACTGAAAACCTTACCTGTGTTCCCCTGTGCTTAAAAATGTACAGCCGTGGTATTACAGTATGTTGCCATTCAAAGGGAGACAAACAAACTGCACAATTTATCGATGTATGTTTACAAAAGATTTATATAACTTAAACAGTTTATCTCATTTCAAAAAAGCCATTCGGATTGATATGTCTCGCCTATGCCCCGCTTTGACCATCAACACACATATCAGAGAAACTAACTTAAATGCAAAAACTTAATCTATGGTCCAAGTTTGGTTGGTCTAGCACTTATACTTTCAGAGAAACTAACTTAAACACAAACTTATACTCTTTTAGAGGAACTAACTTAAACACAAAAACTTAATGTTGACGCCGCCATCGTCGTCGGAAAAGCAACACCTAAGTCACAGCGAGACAAAAAGGACAAGAAAAGGAGGTTTCACTTGTAATTCCTTTTGAGATAAAAATGTACCTGGTCGAACGTCCTCCGACACCACCGACATGTTTGCCTTCCCCACATCACAGCTGGCTTTAGGTTTGGAGAACTGCTTTTTTATTAAGTATGGAATAAGTTCTCCTTTTATAGACGAGATCGCTTTACTGTTAATATAGAATAAAAACAGAATTTCTTAGTCATCTTGTCCTGATATACTGCATTAAATAAAAAGAATTCCTACAATTTTTTTTTTTTATTAGTTGTTCAATATATATACATGTACATCATAACGCTGAAATAAATCAACTTAAAAAATGTTGGTCTCTACTACTGAATTCAATTGTTTCTCATGATCATTGTTAATCCAGCTACCATCCTGCCATTGCTTTCTGGATAGACTGAACTTTCTCCAAACATAACTGTCCTATACATAAGCTAGAATCCCAACTGTTTTACATCCAGCTGCAACTGCTGGGAATGATGGTGGCTGGACTATCTTCTTAGAATGAAGGTGGTTCAATATTATCTCCTGATAATGATGGTACCAGGATAACCAAGTTTTCACTGTACAATTTGTTGTTGGCCTTTTTTGTCCACTGGCTTACTTTATTGTACAATTGTATATAAATCATATTTACCTTGAATCAAGAAAATCCACAACCCATTTCTTCATAATGTACATATGGCAATCTGTTAAACCTGATTTTATGTTCAGGAAAGGATGTCTGAAAACAAAAACAAACTAAAAATAATACAGAAAAAATAGAACTTGTCGACCAGTTCTTGGCATTCTGTTTAAAATCAATTCATTAAGTGTTAAATTTATTTATGTTGGACTTATCCTCTTGCTCGAGGTTGAAAAAGGTAAAAAAAAAATCAGGGACAAGCATTCCCATTTTATACTAATATCCTTCTTTTAAAAGTACCAGTGTAACAGCTGCCAACTCTCCCCCCCCCCCC